GTGATCTTTGGTACGGACATTTTTTGCGGTACGTATTGGTCCTGGAGCTCTCAGTACTATATCATGTGTTCTGCTTTTTAGCGCATTTCCACAAAAATAAAAAAAAATGTGCTATTGTGGCCAATTTGTCCGTCCGTCCGTCCGCTCGTTCGTTGAGTCGCTACTAGCTAGTTCTTTATCTTAAGAGCTATTGTTCTACTTTTTTCCCTATTTGGTTCGTTATGGTATCGAGGCTTGCACCAAGGAAGGAATTTTTCTGCGTTTATTACTAAAAAAGTTATTGTAAAAAAACCAACAAACCGTTTTTTACGTGTTCCATAATTTTACACTTTTGCCGTTTATTAACGATCCTAGAGATCGTTTATAATTTTGTATTGCTGTTTGTCGTCTGTCTATTAGTCTGTCCGTCTGTTCCTTTGTCTGTCTGTTCCTCTATCTGTCCGTGTGAACGATAACTTTGTTTAGAAATGTCCGATCGCCTTGACATCTCCGTTAGTTATGAACTGAATTGCATGAAATTCAATATGGGCATAGCTTTAGCCATATATGACCTGCCATCTTGTCTACAAAAAAATGTCACGTGTATACTATATGCCGATGACGTAAGACTTCTGACTTCTGATAGGGATCTCAGGACCGCTGTAACAACCTCTAATAACACGGTTCACTTAATTAACGAATGGTGCCAAAGTAATCATCTACGTGTTAACTGTGATAAGACCGCGTTAATGCATTTCACCTTAAAAACTGCGTGTGACCATGTACCATCTAATTTTGTTTCAAGTGCAAAGTTTTTGGGCTGCGTTGTAGATAGGACGCTGAGCTTTAAAGAACACTGTGCTGCCATTTGTAAAAAAATTGTGCAATGGAATTTTTCTCATGCGTAAGCTTGTGAACAATGCTTCTATAAATATTGTTAAAACTGCCTACCACTGTCTGATCCAAACTACACTAGAATACGCAATTACGGTGTGGGGCCACTGTTGTTCGTGGCCAAAAATTTTCAAATTACAACGCAGGGCTATACGACTAATTCATGGACTAAGTTTCAGAGAAGATTGTCGTCATTCTTTTGTCGAGTTAAATATTCTAACTTTCCCTTGTTTATTTATTCTCGAAGCGGTTTGCTATATTAAGAAAAATGTAATCAATTTTTCTCTAAGTAGCGATAACCATCAGTATGAAACTCGCTTCACCCACTTCTGTCGTCTGCGAACAACCCAAAACGGTGCTGTCTGGCAGTCTCAGCACCTGTACAACTGCATCCCGGAAGCCGTCAGGAAACTCCCAATGCGAAGATTCAAAGAGGTAGTAAAGTCTTTTTTACTCAAAAAGGCTTTCTACTCCCTCGACGAATTTACAACGATCACCAGTAAAGGACACTTTCAGTTCTGAATTCACTCGTGCACACTTTTTAATATGTATTGTGTTATATGTTTGCTCGAGCTGTTTGTGGTAGTATGTATGTTTTTGTATTAGTAATGTCTTATACCCTATATCTTTTTTTACAATGACCAATGTAAGTGCTCCGCACATTAACATGTTAAATATATTATTATTATTATTATTATTTTTTTTTTTTTTTTTTTTTTGTAGGGGGGGAACTGCACCTTAAGCACACTTCATAGAGAACGAAGTAGTGTGGGGCTCCCCCTTGGTAAGGCATACCCACTAAAACCCCACCTATGGCTTCGGCTGCTGTGGCCATTAGCCTTTTACCATTGTTTATATCTAAATGACATTTACTATTACTACATTACGGGATCATATTGTGTGCAATACTGCTATATTCCGCAAGAAGTTAATTAATTTTGTACATTTCGATGGATTTAAAGTTTTCTTCCCACATTGCCTTAATATCGTATAATTGTCGTTGAAGGTCATATTTTGCGCATGCACATATTATGTGTTCGGGGGATATTCCCACTCCACAGGTTTCACATCGAGGTTGTGCTTCCCCGGTAAGAAGAAAACGGTGTGTAAGCGCGGTATGTCCCAGCCGGAGTCTGTAAATTTTTGCCATTGTGCTACGTTCAGCAGGAATTTGAAGTAGCGGTCCTATGTTAGGCTTGACTTTCCTTAACGTAGCATCTGAATTTACCCACTGTGCCTGCCAGTGTTCCCACACCCGGTCTTTGACATTCTTTTTTGACAAGTCTAACAGTTCTGCTTCGCTCAAGTGCATTTCTCTCAGACATTCTCTTGCTCTCTCCCCCAATGATCTGCACCTTTGTAACCGCACGCTTTTGTTATCGTTTAACAGCATATCATGGTTCGGGTGTTCATTATCCAAGGTGGTCTTCAAGTAATAATTGATGATCATTTGTTTCCGACGCAAAGCAAGGGGAGGAATACCTGCCTCCACATACAGAGCACTAATAGGGGTCGTTATAAAAGCACCAAGGGAGTATCTAATAGCCGAGTTTTGGATTTTATCTAGTTCGCTCAACATTGTATCGCTGCACGTTGAATATGCGTAGCAACCATAGTCCATCCTAGACATAATCAAGGCTCGGTATACATCAAGTAATATCTTAGGATGAGCTCCCCATTTGTGGTGAGCAAGTACCCTAATGACGTTGAGCGATTTTCTGCACGATACAATAAGATGTTCTAAATGCTTGGTCCATCTTAGCTCACTGTCGAAGATAAGTCCCAAAAATTTAATATCCCGGGTTACGCTAATTATTTGCCCATTAAGAAACAACACGGGGTCGTAGTGAGGTCTACGGAGTCGACAAAAATGCATACATCTTGTCTTTTCCTCCGAGAGCACATACCCTATATCACTTGCATTTCCGTGAATACGTTCTATAGCTACCTGTAGTTTCCGTGTACTTTCTCCGACAGTTTTACCTGCGTAACAAATCATTAGGTCATCCACGTACACACTTTTGACGACTTCCTCAGCGACACCTAAAGCTATTTCATTTATCGCAATTGCGAATAAGGAGCAACTTAACGTAGAGCCTTGCGGCACCCCGTTTTCTAATACATATTCTTTAGAATAGGTATCACCGAGTCTGACAACAAACCTTCGATCTTCCAAGAATGATTGAATGAATCTGGGCAGATTACCACGCAAGTCATACTTAAACATATTATTTATGATTCCTTGTCTCCAGGTCATATCATATGCTCCCTTGATGTCAAAGAACACCGCTATCATGTGCTCTCTATCGTCAAAAGCCTTCAGGACTTTATCGGTAAGTTTGACCAAGTGGTCAATTGTTGATCGGCCTTTACGAAACCCCGTCTGGTATAAACCAGTACTTTATTGCTTTCAAGAAACAGCTGGAGTCTTGCATTTACCATTTTTTCCAACAACTTTCCCAGGCATGATGTCAAACTGATGGGACGGTAATGTTTAGCTAGTAACGGGTCTTTTCCTTGTTTCAGTAATGGTATGACAACAGCACGTTTCCATTCGGAGGGGTAATTACCTTTTATCCAGCAAGAGTTAAAGAATTTTAATATGCTTTGTTTTAGTGCCTCATTACAGTGACGGAGCATTTCATTATGTATACCGTCACATCCCGGTGAGCAAAACTTAGTACTGCGCAACGCAGTTTCCAACTCTGCCAAGGTAAAAGGTGCGTTGTACTCCAGGTCTAACACTGTACTGAAGTCTACATGTGCCTCCTCCTTATCAACCTTGGTTTGCTGAAAAATATTTGAGTAATTTGACGAGCTGCTGACTTGATAAAAATGGTCAGCGATATTATTGATTATTTCCCGTATATCATTCGTCACCTCCCCGTCTGCTCTACGGAGAAATGCGGGGTAACTGCATCCAGTTCTACCGGATACAGCAGCAATCTTCTTCCAGACCTCTCCACTGGTAACACCCGGTGTGATGGTAGAGACGTATTCTCGCCACGACTTTCTTTGAGCTTCGAGAATACTCCGACGACAATCTGCTCTACGTTTTTTGAACACTATTAGGTTTTCTATCGTGGGGCAGCGACGAAATTTGTTTAGCGCTGTTTTCTTTAGTGATATTTTTTCTTTTATTTCATGGGACCACCACGGGACAATTTTAGTACAAACGCGTGCCTTGGATTTTGGTATGCTGGCTTCTGCAGCATCCAGAATGGAAGTTGTAAGGGTTTCAATGGTAAGATTATCATCTTCCGGAGAAATCAGCTGTTCTGTAAAGTGCTTCCAGTTGGCCAGCTGTATTTTGAATTTTTCTGCGGTTTTTATCTTAGGATTATCACCTCCAATGCTCATAATGATAGGAAAGTGATCACTATTGTACAAATCACTCTCCACTTCCCATGTCAGCTTAGTGTACATCATTGGCGAGCATATCGACAGATCAATGCTGCCAAATTTCCCAGATTTTGCGTCAAAATGCGTAGCTGAGCCATCATTTAGGATACTTAGACTTTTGTTTTCAATGAGGTCCAACAGATCTGTTCCGCGGGCGTCATTTGAAGATGAACCCCAAATGATGTTATGAGAGTTAAAGTCTCCAGCAAGTACGAACGGAATTGGCAGTTGATTAATTATTCTACCAATCTCTTCAGTGTTATAATTTGTATTGGGGAGGTAGATGTTACATAATGTAAAGCCTCCACAAATTTCCAGTTTTATCGCCAGAACTTGATATGAGCTGTATATTGCTATCCGTTTATACGGCGTGCCCTTACGGATTGCAAGTGCTACTCCGCCACATGCCCTTTCAGGTGAGTAAAAGTCTTTCCTTAATAAAGTAAAACCTTTCATGTTAAACTTATGTCTTACTTTTAGGTGGGTTTCCTGAAGAGCTATACAAACTGGATGGTACTTTTGAATGACGAGTTTGAGTTCATTCAGATTGTGAGCTAGTCCTCGGCAGTTCCATTGGATAATGTGTGTTTTATCCATTGTAGATTACAAGATAGGAACAATCACAGTTGTGTAAATAACATATAAATAAATGACAAACGACAATGTATATGGGACTAGAACAACAATTAACAAGTAAGGGTAAAATATCACAGATGGTATCACAATTAATTTGTACAAGACCCTCTTGACCCCGAATTACGGGGCTTTCTAGGTTTGCCTTTCGGCCACCCCGGCTTCCTCTTCCTCTCTTGCTTGGCCTCGGTCACTTTATCTTCATCCACAGATGTAACACTTGACTCCCTAGACCGGGATTTAGCAAGAGAGGTCTTGCGTTTTGACCCTCTCGTCTCCGTATCCATACACTCTAACTCAGAGGACGTAGTAGGCTCTGATAGGAGATTAATATTAGATACAGGTATAGGAACTTTTAAAACAGGTTGAGGTGATGGTACAAGTATGTTTTGTGAGGTAAGTATTCTCTTTAACGCTTCTATTTCCTCTTTAATAATTCTTCTAATTTCAGGTTCAGCAGGTTTCGCGGACACTGGTATAGGTACTGAAGCCACCTGTGCAAACGACGTGCTTGGAGTTACCATGGTGTCCACTTTCTTTTTCGCTTCTATGTAGGTAAGTTTATGAATGACCTTAACTTCTTGTATTTTACTTTCCTGCCTGTATACAGGGCAGGTTTTTGTAATAGATTTGTGAGGCCCTTTGCAGTTTGGACACTCAATAGGAATCTCACATTGATCTTCGTCGTGTGGAGGTTTCCCGCACACACACCTTTTCTCATATTTACAGCTTGTTGATGAATGTCCAAACCGTTGACAATTAAAACACCGCAGAGGGTTGGGAATATAAGGTCGTACCTGTAGAGGGTAGAATGCGGCCTGAATATTTCTTGGCAGTTTAGGAGAGTTGAACGTAAGGACGTGATTGGCGGTATCAATGAATTCCCCGTCTCGTCTGGTTCTTATCCTTCTTACATCAATTACACCTTGACTGCTCAGGTTATCCCTAATTTCATCGAGGGAACAATTTAACAAATCCCTACAAAAAACTACTCCCCTTGATGTATTTAGTGTTTTATGGGGTTCAACCACAATCTCAAAACCAGCAAATCTTTCGCATTTCAGCATCTGTTTAGACTGCTTACTAGACACAGTTTCAATACATAGTTCACCCTTCACTTTCTTTACTTCTTTAACATTTCCTATAATTCCATATATCGTTTTACTTATTAAGAAGGGACTTACATTTGTAAAATCCCCTTCTTTCCTTTTAAGGACCAGGAACCGGGGCACGATGTCCTCCTTCTCGCTGGTACCATTATTTTGCGGTAATGAAGGAAAACTCTCCATTTCCGCGCCAATCGTCGTTGTGCCGCCATGGCCTTTAGAGTGTCCGGTAGAAACATAGCGTAGGTCGTCATTTGTTCCAGATGTATTTACCCGCTCCGTGGCTTGGTTCCCTGCCACGGACGCCGAGCAGCCGCTTAATATCGACCGGGTGAGGCCTGCCCGCTCCGCCTCGCTCCCTGCCGGCTCTGGGGACAATCCGAACCCCTGAGCAGTAAGATGTGGGCGCCCCGAAGGGCTCGAGAACTTTTTCATAGCATAAAGTGTCGTCAACCATTGCATTTTATCGCTACTGCCAGCGGGCCAAGGCCTTTTTTTGTGAACTTTTATGACATGAAACAAAAGACAAAAGGACTAGAACTATCAAAGAAGACAATACAAATTATTGTTATTATTATTATTATTATTATTATTATTATTATTATTGCCGTTTGTAGGTTTCGAGTTATTATTATTATCGGTGTTTCTTGTGAGAACTCAGGTCTAGCCTGGTTAACTAATCGCACGGATTAAAATCAAGTAACGATTAGTGTCTGTGTCTGTGTCTGGTGAAGTTATGTAGGGTCAAAAAAAAAAAAAAAAAAAAATCACACACGTACATTGGACATCTAGGGATAATGTAATTCGTACTTACCAACATACCTATTGATGGGCACAATAGCCAACGCTATCAGGAAAGAGGAAAACAAAACAAAACAAAAAAAATCATTATAATAATTCCTGTAATTTTATTAAATGGAGTTTATTGTGTAAGTGTTTCTTTGGCTTTGCGTTTGGGTTGAATACGAGTGGGTTGTGATAACGTGGTGTGCTTCTGTGAAGAAGGAGTTTTGTGTTTTTTAATTGTATTTATGGTGTTTCTTTGTTCCTGAGGTCGTATTTGTGAGGTTGCTTGGGTTTTTGGTGGAGATATTGCAGTATTTTGTGAGCCTGTGTTAAGGTTTTTGCGTTTCGGTTGTATACGAGTGGGTTGTTTCTGAGAAGAAGGAGTATTGTGTTTTTTAACTGTGCTAGGGCGTGTAACTTTATTGGATGGACCTGTCTTTGTAGTGCATGTTGCGTTACTTGTATTTATGGTGTTTCTTTGTTCTTGAAGTTGTATTTCTGTTGTTGCATGGGTTATTGGTGGAGACATTACAGTATTTTGTGAGCCTGTGTTAAGGTTGTTGCGTTTGGGTTGAGTACGAGTGGGTTGTGTTTGTGATAACGTGGTGTGTTTCTGAGAAGAAAGAGTATTGTGTTTTTTAGCTGTGCTAGGCCGTGTGGGTGAGGGCGTCTTTGTAGTGCGTGTTGCGTTACTTGTATTTATTGCGTTTGTTTGTTCAGGAAGTTGTGTTTGTGTGGTTGGTTGAGTTAAGTTTGGAAATATTACAGTATGTTGTGTGTCATGTTGTGAGTCTAAAGTGCTGTTTAGGCTTTTGCGTTTGGGTTGAATACTAATGGGTTGTGATAATGTGGTTTGCTTCAGAGGTGAATCTCTGATTGTAGTATATGTTGTATCATTTGTTGTACTTGTTTGTTCGGTAAGTTGTATTTGTGTGTTTGTTTGGGTTAGAGGTGGAGATATTACAGTATGTTGTGTACCGTGTTGTGAGCGAGTACTGTTGTTTACATGTATACGTTGTGGATCATTTCTGTATGTAGTATCTTGTGTTATGTTTAGAAATTTACGAACAATATGGCATGTGTTGATAATGACTGCTTTTTGTAAATGTTTGTATGTGTTTTTGTCTAAACCTAATAGTTGTAAATTGTGGTGTATTGTCTTTGGTATAACTCCAGTAGCACTAAGAATAATGGGAACTATAACAGTAGATTTCATTCTCCATTGCGTCTTAAGCTCGATAGCTATATCGGTGTATTTGCGGTGTTTTTCTGCATGTGTTTTAGTTAAGTTGTTAGTGTTGGGGATGGCAATGTCTATAATACAAATGGATTTTTGTGTTTTATCTATAAGTGTAATGTCTGGTCTATTATTGTGGATAGTTTTATCTGTGAGTAGTGTCCTGTCCCAATATAATTTGTGTGTGTTGTTTTCGAGTATGATCTGTGGCGTGTATTTGTAGTATGGTGTCGTATCTGTTATGAGATTGTGTTTAAGTGCTAATTTTTGATGTATGATTTTAGCTACCTGATCGTGTCGATGTTTGTATTCAGTTTGTGCAAGTCGTGTGCATGCCGATATTATATGTTGGATTGTTTCTGATGTTTGTGAACAAAGTCGACAAGAATCATTTGTCACTGTTTTATCTTTATGTATGTGTTTTTTATAGTTGCGTGTGTTAATGACCTGGTCTTGTATTGCTAACATGAAACCCTCAGTCTCCGGGAAGACATCACATTCAGACAACCAACTGTGCGTTGCTATAGAGTCAACACAATCCTGGCCAACCTCTTGTGGAAATCGTCCATGTAAAGGCTTTTGGTTCCATGTCTGTATGTTATTTGTGATGTATGTAAGTTTGGATGTGGGTGGGAGTACATTAGTTTCGTGTAGGTTAAGTGGTGTGTAAGATTTGTCTGCATATGTTACTGTTTTGTGTAAGACTGAAGTATCTGATTTGTTATAAAAGTATTGTCGTAAATTGTGTATTTGTGTTTGGTGTAATAGTTTTATATCTGTAAGTCCTCTACCTCCTTCCGAACGAGGAAGGTAAAGTCGTATACTGGAGGAGTGAGGGTGATGTATATGGTGTTTTGTTAATAGTGTACGTGTGTTTCTCTGTATTTGTTCTAAATCTGTATTATTATTATTATTATTATTATTATTATTATTATTATTATTATTATTATTATTTCTTTTTTTTCCAGATCAACCCAGACCTACCGGAGGAAGCGTCTACTGCACTGGTAATTGGCATTCCTCTTAAGGTAAGTCTTCTGCCATATATCTATATTTCTGTATATATACAGGGTGATTCCTATAGTACCTGCCACCGTTTGGGAGCGTGTAGGTGGTGCGTAGGGGAGTATTTTGATATAGGACACTTGGGGTCGGAAATCTAAAATAAGGGTGCCAGAGCCAAATTTACCTTCTGGAATTTCGCGCCTGTAGGTAGGCAACCCAACCGGCCGGCGGTGCACACGGAGCGATCTCAGGCGGCGATGTGTGGCTGACACTTGATCAGAATTTTGTTTAAACCCACGAAATCCCGTCTGCAACGACGCGTATCAAGTGAATAAACACTATATGGCACGTTTTACTAACACGGAATACGCGGACATGCACTTCATGTACGGATTGGCAAATGGTAACGCACGAGCTACACGACGAGCGTACGCTGAGCGGTATCCAAACCGTCAGTTACCCTGCAGACAGGTCTTTCAAGAAGTTCACTTCCGACTGTGCGAGACAGGGCAATTGCAGGTAAGCTGATGGAGGCTTAACTTTACACACAGATTCGTGATGCACATCGATACTTGGGTCATTTAAGCACCCATTTCGAAAAGTTTGTTTGTTTACACCGACCTCCTCCTATTTCGCAGCCCACTAGCGCCCGTGATCGCGATCGCCCGTTGGTAAATGCCTTACCATTTGCCAATCCGTACATGAAGTGCATGTCCGCGTATTCCGTGTTAGTAAAACGTGCCATAGTGTTTATTCACTTGATACGCGTCGTTGCAGACGGGATTTCGTGGGTTTAAACAAAATTCTGATCAAGTGTCAGCCACACATCGCCGCCTGAGATCGCTCCGTGTGCACCGCCGGCCGGTTGGGTTGCCTACCTACAGGCGCGAAATTCCAGAAGGTAAATTTGGCTCTGGCACCCTTATTTTAGATTTCCGACCCCAAGTGTCCTATATCAAAATACTCCCCTACGCACCACCTACACGCTCCCAAACGGTGGCAGGTACTATAGGAATCACCCTGTATATAGGAAACACGTTCAAGTGGCACCAATAATGAGCATATATAGACGTTGTGGCACCCATATATGCGTAGTGGCACCAATTTAAGATGCCACAACGTTTTCGACTATATTTACGTTCAGGCACCCTATGGGACTCTAAAAACGAAGTATGGCGAGGGTGCCACTTTGACCATATACCTATAGAATCGCGATTCTGGTTACACGCGTATGTCTTAAGGCGGCGCTGCGGTCGGAAATATTTACAAATTGTCTAACTGACACCATTTACGTTGTGGCACCGTGGAATTTTAGCGTGCATTGCAGGCAAGGTCAACCGCTTCTCACCGATTATAGCTCCCCTTTTATGACCCCAGTTGTCTACCTACGTACTTCTATTTTGTCGACGAGTTGCTAGAAATTATATTTTTCGTTTAAAAGACATCGTTTGTTGTCTTTGTTAACAAACGCAATTTTCCCTAAAATGAATCGATTACAAGCTTTCGCATTGCAATGCGCACTTCATATAAAAAGGTTATTTTGCTAATATTCCTAATGTTACTTTACAATTACAAAGAGTCGAATACTACTGAACTTTTTAGCGGCGTTGGTAAGGAAGATCGATCTAACATTGACCGTTAGAAAAAATTTGTTATGTAACCTTTGAGTATACGTCTTTGCATATTTACCTTTTAATTTATAGAACATGATCAACTCCCTAGTTGTGATTTTGTCATTTTAATTACTCTGATCGTTAATTGGATTTGTTTATAAGGTGACATTATTGCATGCTTTCAAACTACTCCTAAAATTAAAAGTAAGTTTGGCCACATTGTACACTGTAAGATTATTTTTTTATTCGTAATTTTGGTATTTGAAACCCAATTTATGAATTACACGTGTAAGGATTAAGGATGTTGATTGATAGCAAAGTCAAAATCGATTATGTTGATTTCTATTACTGATATGAATTTGATGATGATCATTTATTTTGGAAATTGTATAGCATAACGGCCAATTCTCGCCACAATTTAAAAAAATAGTAGTCAAGGAAGTTTTAATTAGTTAATGGTGGTAGATCTATACAATAATATAAGTTGGACCATGGTAGTCGATTAATCCACATCATTATACTGGTACAAATTACCGAAACATTAATTTCCCGACTAAAGTATATTATTAGAAACCTAACTGGTTTTAATAAATCGCCAAAAACTTATCACCAGGCACTTCGGAAACTGTTAGATGGTTATCGAGACCCCATTATCAGGAACCAAGAGACATGCTTGTGCAAATAGATACAACCTGTTCAGTTTTACAATTCTGCATAATTCAATTTTCATAGTTTACCATTTTTTGAAAATTTGGGCCATGGTAATCGATTAATCCCAAACATAAAGCTGGCACAAATTGCCTAAACGTTCCTTTCTAGAC